CCTTGGACTGGACTAGATTTTCTGGATACAGTCACTTTGAAGAACTAAAGATTGTACTCGAAAAAATGCAACACTTTCTTTTGTGTATAACTTGTTATTGCATAGATAAAACATTGATGAAATTTTGAGTAAAACTAGTTTAGAGTGAAATGTTACAAATCTCGTCACAATCTGTCAAGTGGTTATCGAGATGGCTTCCAAGCAAGAAGTGCTTCGACAAAAAATTATGGGAGCGTTGGTGAAAAATCCAGGCCAGTCCCACAGGTGGATCGTGAAACAGTTTGGAACTTGGGCAAGACACCTTTCGATCATGAGTATAATCGGAGTTAATTTTGAGTAACTCTGAGTAACTCGCATTGCTCAACAACATTTACACATAGCAACCTGGTTGTTGTGTTGAAACCGATGCTTGTCAAGCAAAGATAATTCAGTGGCAACATTTCAAAGGAGCGTAGTTGCATTTGTAAGTTTGTAATACATATTTCAACATTTTAAGCGGTGTCCTTTCAAACTAAAGCTTCACCGAGAAGATATTTCGGCAATGGAAAGACAATTGCACTTTCGTATAGCACGCTGGGAATAAAACGGATTCTGATGGACAATGACAAGAAGGATTCAGAACAGTCCCAGAGGGATTCTGGACAATCCCTGGAAGACTTCGGACAATCTCTGGAAGGATTCCAGTCAATCAAAAGAGGATTTATGACAGTCTCCGGAGGGATTCCGAACTAGCCTAGGGGTGATTCCAGACAATTATCAGAAAAGATTTCATACACTCTCAGTACGGCTTCCGGGCAATATCAGAGGGGACTTCGGGCAAACCCAATAGGGATTTTGGACAGTCGAAAGGACGATTTCAGTAAAAATTTAGGGGCATTCATGACAGTCCAGAGAGGACAATCGCAGAAAGGATTCCGGATTCCAGACAATCTCAGGGAGGACTACAGTCATCCCAAACGGAGGATTCTGAACAATTCTAAGTAGCATGACAAAAAAGAGACGTGGCCAAGAAGGTCAATTCTTCCGGCTGATTCGTCCAGCAGACAATGAAGCGGGTCAGACTTCATGCCTTCAAGGTAAGAAAGGCGCCTAACCGAACCGATAAACAGAATACGGTGGCCAAATCCCGCGCCAGGAAGCTGTACCGCGAGTTGTTGGTGCAGCCGAAATGCATAGTAATGGACGACGAGACGTACATTAAAGCGGCCGCCAAGCAGATCCCCGGCTTGGAGTTTTTCATCGGCAAGTCCCGCCTGGATGTTCCGGAGAAGTTCCGGAAGAAAAAGGTCGACAAATTTGCCAAGAAGTACTTAGTATGGGTGTGGCAAATTCAGCAAGCCGCACATAACGACCGGCACCATCAACGGCCAAATATATATAGAAGAATGCCTCCAGAAGCTGTCCTTCCTCCGGTCCCACGAAGGTGACACTCTGTTTTGGTCGGATCTGGCATCGTGCCATTACGTGAAACTGGTGATGGAGTGGCACAAAGCCAACGATGTTGTTTTTGTGCCGAAGGAGGCAAATACGCCAAACTCGCCAGAACTTCGCCCAATAGAAAAATTCTGAGCGATTATGAAGGGCAAGCTCCGGAAAACAGGGATGTCTTCAAAAACGAAAAGGATTTGAAGAAAGGGTGGATGAAAGTGTGTAAGAAAGATGGCGCAAATGTTGCACAGGATTTGATGGGTAGGTGCGGGCATTTAGCCTAGGAAAGGAGGTTGAATAAACCAACTTTGCATAAACATAGCTAATATGTGTTTATTTATTCCCTGAGAGTTTCAAAAGTATCCGACCTTAAATGAATTTTTGATGATCATTTTTGTCTGTTGCATTTTTTTCGAGTACAGTCTTTATGTATATCTGAGGAAAGTAATAGCTGATAAGGGTTGTGTTGTCAAAAAGGGTAGATACTGCACCTGGATTTTTTTTTTAAATTGCTAGACAATCAGGGAATTTTGTTTTCTTCATTGAGTCGACACCCTGTAAGATTCATGTTCAGTACAGTGGACCCCCGGTAATTACATCGTTTTTAATCTGAACACTTTTTAATTTAAACCCCGTTAATCTGCACGCCCTGAAAACTAAAAATTGCTCAAACGTCATTTAGTACATGGAATGGAGTAAAACGACATGAAACGATGTAAAACGGAACGCAGAATCAAAAGAAAACAGAAATACTATGGTTATACCATAGACGTAACTCTAAGACCAGATGGTCCCGAAGAAACGTGCTCAACTTTTTGGCTCAGCTCTGGTACTCTCTTCGGTCCCAAGCTAATCGATTCACCCCTCGAAACATAGGAAAATCCACTAACCCCTCATTTTATCTGTCAAACTTTCATAGCGAATCAAAACAAACATTGAGTAGTACTAGAATTTCGACTAGAATGGGGTACGTTAATCGTTTGCTTGGGACCAATAGACTAGTCAAGTAGTGAGCCAATTTAAAATCGTTAGTTTCGTATTGATTGTTGGTACCGTCGTATTGGACGATCTTACAGGAATTTGACCAACCGTTGCTGGAGGGAACCCATTTTAGCCATTTTGACTGTCGTATCGACCCTCTCAACCGACCATGGTGTGGAAGAACTCTGTGAAGCTATTCTGGACGAAACTACGAGCCGCTGGAATTTGCGCTACGAATCGGATGAGATAAACTTAGTTTCATGGTGCAGACAGGTGCAGGCAATACTCACAGCATTTTTCCTTGGAATCCGAACCCAATGTGAAGTCCAATGGAGTAAACAAAGAAGTCAACCTTAACAACGATTGGCAAAACGTCAACTCTCGACAGTGATACCGTTTTATATTATGTCGATTGTATCCTACTTATCAACGTTTTTCCTAAAGAGCCGAATAGTGTGCCATGCTGTGTTTCGGCACAGTGTGCAGAGTTGATTACCCCTTGCTTTAAACGCAAATTTCCCGAGAATCAAAAACACATCCAATCTAACACCAGAATTTAATAGAGCAAACTTCCTTTATCGAATGGCATCCCATCCCACAGTTGTGATCACTTGTATGCAACTTATTTCGTGTTGGATGGACGTGTGCTGTTTGGGATTGTTAATATGCGTGGGTGTGTTTTAATTCTCGAGAAAATTGCGTTCAAAGCCATCGCTTACGTTTAGTTGTTCCGCGCCTATTTCAATTGTTGGTCTAAAAATATAACGTTTGAGTTGTAACATTTGAGAAAATGGGACGATGCCTGATTTGAACAAATTTTATAAGCATTGAAATGTTTTTAAAATTTCGAACATACCAAGATCCCGAGATTGAAAAACTTTATTCGATCTAGAAGCTTAATTTAGCTCAAATCACTTTAATTTTTTTTTTCTTTAAAAACGAAACTTGATTGTAGCTTTTGGATGTGTACCATGTTCCTCAGAACTACTTGAATCTATTTAAATAATTATCAAATATATTATTTAAATTCGCCATTGGATCTGTTATTGGTTGTACTATGTATTCGCCATACCATATACCTATCAAATTTTAAATATCATTACGAACAACATGCTGCATGTTCTCGAAACTTTTCAGCTAGCTTTTAAAACTTATAAATTAAGAAAATGTGAATGGGAGTCTCTATAACCATACCACTTTAGCTCGAATAATGGTGGATTTACATAGGAGAAATGGCTCTAATGTTGGCCTATGGATCTAAGATTGGGCCCAACGCTAAAAATCTGCTATTTATCAGTTTTATCTAGATGAACGCGGCGGGACGGTACTAATGGATTGCTGAATTTATGTATGGGCCCAAATTAGGGGTATTTAGGCCGACATTACATCCAATTCACCTATTGAATATTTAATATTTAATTTTATTATTTATTATATGCTCGGAAACGAATAAATAGTTGTTTCCTATAACAGAGGAAATCATTGCCAATTATTATAATTGCGATAGTGTTTTTAAAATAGTAGAATCCAGAGGAAAAAATGGTTTCCTTCTAGCTTTCAGAATCATAAGGATAAGGGCCTAACTGCGATGGTCGATTCACTTAATCGATCTTCTCTTTTGATAATAACTCCGCAGGATTAACATTTCTCAGTGCGTGTGATGCTCGGTGTGATGTTGCTTTTGCTAGCTAATACAACAATTTACTACACTGTATTGAAATAATTTCGGAAAATTGGTTCACTTAACTGTGGTTTTGCGAAGAGAAAATCAATCATTGCAGTTATGCCCTTATGATTCTGAACGCTTGACTTAGTAATCAAACCATAAAGTTATAATTTTCCAGAAAAGTGTAGTAGCAAAAATGTGGATGCACCTATTAAACTTTAATCAGGATGCTTCATTTATCTTTTGTTTAATTGATTAAACCCTAAATTTTTCAGAAAAGAAAACGACTGAAAAATCAGACAATATCAGGGAATTTATTTTGAATCATTGAGTCGACAGTCCGTTCTAGGAATCGTTAAGATATGCATAGGAAGCAGTTATTTTTAAAGTATGTCGTACAAGCGTTTACACGTCGAATTTCGACGCGATTTACGGACTGGCCCTCCCCCGGACCAGTCTGTCGCCCGGATGTATGCGTGTGCGTTCAATCCTCGTGCTCTCGGTCTGCTGGTTTGGTCTCTTCTATACACGCTGGCTGACTGACTGACTGACTGCTGGTGGTGAGCTCGCGCTGCTGAGCTACACTACTCTGACTAGAGTGCTCCATATATTGTCATCTTTTGGTGTGTCTCCGTCGGATGGTGATGCGTTGTGTGTTCCTTCGAGTTCGACTACCCGTCGTGATACGATAATTCGTGGTGGGATCTCAACCGGATCTGGACATTTAGAATAACGTTTCCGGGACTAAAAAGGGAACCGAAAGAAAGTTCATCGAATTGCAGTGGATTGGTGGTGGGTAGAATGAATTCGGGATGAAGAAATGCCTCACCAAAATCGACGACGACAGTGATTGCGACCTCCGCCCCACAGTGCGTACGTGAAAAATTTTCCTCTAATTTCTAGTGTTGCTCTTTTATCCGAATAGGTGGTGTATCCCGAAGCTGTGCGTTCCCAAGGATTAGCAGCAGTGTTTGATCGAAGTCGATCCTAGAACGTCTCTAGGAATACAAAACGAGAATGGAACCGCGAAGTTCCACAGCGAAAGTGCAAACGGGTGGATTTTTCAAAGTTGGAGGAAAATCGAATAGATTGTAGCAGTTTTTCCTCCCTTCCTACTGCCTCCTGCCGTCCTCTTCGTGTGGTCCTCCGGGTTCAGAGCGTAGTACAAGTGACAAGTGAGCCAGAGAGTTTTCTTCACTGCGAGTTGAGGAAAAATGTCTGTATGGTGAACGACGAAAAACGACTCACGAGATGTGTTGAAATGTGTGCGTGAGGGAAACAGGCAAACAACGGCGAGTGTGTAATAATAATCACGAAAAAAAAAAGTGCACGGAAAATTAGCAGGGTGTGTGTCGGGCAAGGAAAACCCATGTGTTGGATATGATTTAGAAGGAAGAACCAGACGAGACAGAGCACCGAATCTGACGACGAAAGCGAGCAGAAGTGAAAATTGGCAAGTTGGAGCAAAAGATAATCGAAAAGTGAAGAAGATTGACGTCCGAGAACGAAAAGAAGAAATTTCGGATGGTGGGAAGATGCTGGATTAAGCTGCTCAATTGGATGGGAGGTACGTACCATTGAATGGTGGGAAAACTGATTGAATGATGGGATTCGGTTTCTGGTTAGAATGTGGAACGAAATCGGTACCGTTGCGTTATGTGGGAATGTGCAACAAGTCGGTGGATTCCGGGGGGGGGGGGGGGGGGAGGAAACATCTGGTTGTTTTTTCTTTTCTTGATGGAATCCGCCTGTGGTGACGTTTGTTGAAAAGATTGTGTGCGGTGAAGTGAAATTTTAGACGTCACTCTAAATTGGGTTGGGCAGAATGTTCTACTGGGCGGGTGGTTTATATGAGTAATATCTTTTAATGTGAGGCTCGGCAAGTTTATGCTTTACAGCAGGACAGGAACACCGTATCATGAAAACTTTGATCTTCAAAATGTTAGGAATGTTTTTTTTTTAAATTATTTATAAAAAAAGTAAGAGGTTGTACCCAAGACACGACCATAGATTTGACGTAGGATTACGAAAGGTAGTTTTGATGTCACAGCAAAAGTAAAGCAAATATTGAATTGATTTCATACACTGATAGGCAAAATAAAGTGCCCACCCCATCATTTTTGAAATTTCTCTCATTTATTTGGTTCAAATTCAAATAAACACACCGTAGTCTGTTTCGATGTCTTACCTTTATTATTCTTTTAAAGTTACACCTATGGAATACTGAAAATATAAAGTTTTACTTGAAGTAAAAGAAAATCAATTTGGATTGAAAAAGAAAACAGTGACAAAAAAAAGTGCCCACTTCAAAAATCGGTATGTTTTCGATAAGTTTCCATCGGAAAACCCCTCGATTGTTTTTGTTTTGAAAGTTTGACATGTATTGAAGCAAACGGGTGGAACTGGTGCATTTGTACACGTGATCGCATTTGAATCAGTTGAAAAAAATGGAGGACGTAGTGATTTCGAAAGCAATTCCCGTGTGTATCCGAAAATTGGTTGTTCGTGATGTGCAAAACGGTGAATCGCACCGGTCTGTCGCTAGGAAGTACAATATCAGCAAAACAGCGGTCGGGAAAATTCTGCAGAAAATGAAATCGTTCGGATCAGTGGTGGATCGCCCTGGCAGAGGCAGGATGCGCAAAACGGATGCGAGAACGGACACCAAGATCATGCGTGAAGTGAAGAAGAACCCGAAGGTAACTGTCCGCGAGATCCAGGAGGCTCTTCAGCTAACAGTTTCCAGTCGAACTGTTCGTCGCCGTCTCGTAGCACAGGGGTTGAACAGCAAAGTTGCTCGGAAGCGCCCATTTATCAGCAAGGCAAACAAAGTCAAACGGCTTAAGTTTGCTAAGGAGCATGCTGATAAGCCCCTAGAGTTCTGGAAAACGGTTCTCTGGACGGACGAATCAAAATTCGAACTGTTCAACCGGAAGCGACGGGTTCGTGTGTGGTGTAGATCGGGTGAGGAGCTTCAGGAGCGCCACATACAAGGCACGGTGAAGCATGGAGGAGGAAATGTGATGGTCTGGGGGTGCTTTTCGTGGGGTGGAGTGGGAAGCCTGGTGAAAATCGACGGGATAATGACGGCAGATTCCTACATCGACATCCTGCGGGAAAATCTGGAAGTTTCGCTGATCCAGACGGGCCTTGAGGAGAAATTCGTATTCCAGCAGGACAACGATCCGAAGCATACTGCCAAGAAGACTAAGTCTTTCTTCCGGTCATGTCGAATTAAACCACTGGAATGGCCTCCACAAAGCCCGGACCTCAACCCCATCGAGAATTTGTGGGCGATTCTCGATGCCAGGGTTGACAAAACTGGTGTTACCAATAAAAATAACTATTTTGAAGCCCTGGAGCGCGCCTGGGAAGAACTAGATCCACAGCACCTGAAGAATCTAGTGGAGAGCATGCCGAAGCGCCTGCAGCTGGTCCTGAAGGCCAAAGGAGGACACATTAACTATTAGGCTGGTATTCTTTTACTTTATTTTATGTTTTCTGGAGTTAAAATGCAGTGGGCACTTTTTTTTGTCACTGTTCTTTTTTACACCCATTTTGATTTTTTTTTCTTCGAGTCAGTCTCTTCTTTTTATCTGGTATTCTATAAGTGAAACTTAAAAAGAATATAAAGAATAAGATATAAAAAATACTACAGTGTATTTACTTTAATTTGAACCAAATAAATGAGAGAAATTCAAAAAATGATGGGGTGGGCACTTTATTTTGCCTATCAGTGTATCTCGTTATCAGTGAAAAAGTGCAACTTCTTTCTCCTTCTTCAGCGAATGGACTGCTCAGTGGGCTGCAGCTTGCGCTTGCGGACAGTTTTTCGTCGTATAGTGGAGAACAATCTACAATGCCACGCGCCGAAAGCACTGCGACTGCTGCTTATCATAAACACAGTTCGGTTAGACCAGAGTGTGTGTTAGGGAAATCGCTTTTAGCAGTCAATCGGTGATAATTTTCATTATTATAGCATCAGTTGCACATTCGTGCAATTTTCAATAGTGACCTTTTGAATTGTGATAAAGTGTTCATTTTAGAAGATTCGTAGATGACATGTCAATCAATTGGCTTGTTTAGAATTAATATCCGTCCGCTATTGACAGAGTTATAAGTGGTCACTCTTCGTAACGCGGTCAATTTTGGTTTTTTTTTAAATTGCACCCCCAATATATACCCCCCTAAATGCATTTGGCATAAAGTCGTTTGACTTAAAAGTAATTTAGCATAATAGCAGAGGGTGGTCAGTGAACCGGAAACAATCGGGAATTCGACGAAAGCAGCGGGAAAAATCAGTAAACCTCAATATATGATCAAGTTATTACGCCAGAGTTTATTTATTCATTTATTTTTTATTCTCTACATCAGACTTTTGTTGCCTAAATGAAGGTTGATGGGGAAAAGTATATTACGCAAGTATTTGCGCAAATAGTCGTAAAAGCCCCATATCTTTTCGAAATACAGGTAACATTATCAAAAAAGACACAATAACAGACAAATTATAAAAAAAAACACCCAATAACAGGGCTGGTAGCGAGTCACTTTTTTTTCAAGTCAGTCACTCTTTTTTTTTAAGGCCAAGTCATCAAGCCACTAAAGTCACTTTTTCTTGTAATCAGTCACTATTTTCAACTTTTTTAGCGTGAATTTATTTCTAGATTGATTATTCTTTGCGTTGTGACGTTTAATCGTCTTTCTCTATATACATGATGTCTACTCATTTTTCTGGATAAAATTACCTGAGTATTCCAAGTAAGTAAGTTCAAGATCTAAAAATATGCAATGTCTTGAAGTTTCGTATTCCATGTATAAGATCAAAATTTTCAAAGTGCCAGAGTTAAGTAAACAAATAAATGATTTATTTCAAGCTCGTAATTAACTTTATGATAGATAAGAGATTTCCATTCAGTTCCATTAACTTTACAACAATTGTAGGCACTTTGAAGAAGTTCTGAGGAATGAAAGGAAATGCTGAGAATATCAGTGAAGCTCTATAAACAAACTACAGGAACATAAGGGAAGTTAACACGCTGAAAATATGGGAAACTTACTGGAAGCTGTAAGAACCTCAAAATGGTTCTTTTAGTATCCGAGACTTTTCAGGAACTTTTATGAAGTTCCTAGAATTTCAGAGAACTTCATAGGTGTCAAGCGAACTTGAGAAATTTAGAAAACTTAAGGAGTATTGTGCAGTTCTTAGCACCTCGGAAAAGCTAGATAGAATCAAAATCAATAATCATTAATTTAGATAAATTCAAGATAGTTCCATGATGTGCTGAAAAACAAATCGAGAACCCTTCAGATGTTCCGCGAATTTCAAGGAAGTACAGAGACCTTCAGAGAATTTATGAGTCCAATGAATTTCAAAAAGATGTTTACGGGAATTCTATTTATTTCCGAGCAGAACCGAGATCTTCAAAACAACTAAGAGCTTTATGGAGACTTCGAGAACATCAAGACAGGTCAGAGAATCAAAAGGCCGGTTCAAATAATTTCAAGGAAATATAAGAAACCTTAAAGAAGATTCGAGAAACTCAGTGAAATTCCGAAAACTTCAGCAAAGCTCCGAGAGAATTCTTGGAAATTTTATGAACATCATGGAGATTTCAAGAACTAAAAAAAATGCGAAATTAAGCTGAGTTGTTTAGAGAACATTAATGAAGAACTTTTAGCAAGCAGCGATATCTTTAAGACATTCCAGAGAACTAATTATAGATATTTCTAGATAGTTTAATGATATTCAGCGAAATTTTTAGTACTTCGAGGACGATCAGAATAATCCCATTAACTTAAGCAAATTTGCAGCGACTTGCAAGGAGTTCCGTGGAATTATAGGGTATTCCATGAATTCTATGATTGATCTGAATTGTCAGAAGCGTCAGGGATTTATCAATGTATATATATATATATATACTAAACTTCAGGTAAGCATAGATAAGTTCAGGGAAAATCGAGTGTTAATAATTGTTATAATACTTAAGGGACATTTTCGAAACTTCAAGACAATACTGATAAATTCAGGGCAGTCCAGAGAACTTTAATGAAATTCAGTAATCGTTTAGGCACCAGGAAAGTCTAGACTATTGAAGAAGTTTTAAATTAATGTCGATAATTATTATGAACTTCAGAAAAATCTGGAGAACTTCAGTGAAAATCATAGAACTATATTATTTATTTCGTTCTAATTCCATGAAAATTGCGGGAGCACAAAAGTTCCATAAATTTAGAAAAAAAAAAACTTAAGAAACTTCACAGAAAGTGGTCTTTAGAAACCAAAAAAAAAAGTTATTTTTTAAGTTTATTTCTTACTGAAGATTCATCCACTGTGAATTTTTAAAATTCAAAATGTGAATGAAAATAACGAGAAAAACTAAATGGTTGAATTTTAAAATTCATTATTTTCTTTAAGATATCCTTAGTAAGAAGTTTTTTTTAAATTCTTTGAGATTTCCAGGTATTTTGAGGAATCAAAAAATTTCCTGCGGATTCCCGGTTTTCCAGATTTTTGAAGTTAGTAGACACCGTGACTAATACCGTGGGTTTGGTTATAAACTTTCTATT